GGGAGGCCAACATGAAGATCAGGAATGTGCTTCAAGGGTGGATAAGGAGGTGTATCACAAGGTCAGAGAGTATCCCTGAATGTGAGTCTTAATTCAGTTCTAATCCAGTCCCACAAGTGAAGGGACTGGCTCAAGTCCTTGAAACCTATGGGCAACAAGCCTAAAATAACTCTCTTTCCTTATTTACATTCCCCTACTCACTTTTACAGGAGCTCTGGTAACATAGTGGCTAAGACACTTGCCTGCTAACCAGACGGCGACGGCACATAACAACATAACAACAACAACTCACTTTTACAGAAGCTCTGGTAGCACAGTGCATAAGGCACTTGACTGCTAACCAGAAGGCTGGTGGTTCAAACCCACCAGCCATTCCTTGGAAGGAAGATGGGGCAATCTACTTCCGTAATGATACCACCTCAGAAACCCAGGAGGGGTCGCTATGAGTCAGGTTTGACTGGAGGCCATATAACAACAACAACTCACTTTTACACTGGAGAAACATTTTGCTGTGCTGTTATTTTGCTAGAGGCAATTTAGAGAAGATAGCAAGAATCACAGTAGGTTATAATAAGAATGTTGCAGCAAACAGTGTTACAGCCATAAATATAGGAATACACTTCTCAAGGAAGTTCCCATTCAGATATTCAAATACAGCTTAGTGAGTAAGGGAGGGGGAACTTAGTGGGTGAGATGATTTTATAATCATTATAGTGTAGGCAAGAAGACCCTGGGTGGCACAAACATTTTGCACTCATCTACTGATTTAAAAAGGAAAGTTGATGGCACAATGGTTAAATACTTGGCTGCTAACCAAAAGCTCAGTGGTTTGAACTCACCAGCTGCTGTGTGTGAGAAAAGACCTGGAGATCTGGTCCTATAAAGATTACAGCTTAGAAAACCGTATGGGACAGTTATACTCTGTCCGGTAGGATTGCTAAGATCAGTCACTGAAAATCCTATGGAGCACAGTTCTACTCTGTAACACATTTGTTCACCATGAGTTGGAATCAACTTGAGGGCAATAAGTTTGGGTGCTTTTCTGTTTGTTTGTTTTTTTAAATAATATGGCCAGCCAGGATTGTAGTCACTTATTGGCCACAGCCAGCTACCCAGAGGGAGTGAGTAGTTGGACCGGCTGACTTGGGACCATAGTCGCAGGGGACATCAAGCTCAAGTGGCATAACATACTACCCAAAACACTGTTCCACATCCTACTTTGGGGTGTAGAGACTGGGATCTTAAAAGCTTGCAAGCGGCCATCTAGATGCAACAATGGGTTTCTCCTCAT